GCCCTCCCTCACCTCCTGTCTCTGCAGGGAGACCCTGGGGAGTGCGCCTGCCCCCCAGCACCCCGTCAGGACCCCAGCTACTCCGGGATGCCGGTAAGCACCATGGGCACCCGTGGGCACCCCCCAACTCCACTTCGCCCCCTCTGAACCCTCTTCCCCTTCTCTTGGTGGCAGGGAGCCCCAGGACTGTGGACTGGGATGTCCTGGCAGCCACAGCCGGGTCCGCAGGTGGGTGCTGGCCCCCCTGCAATGTGCCCACCAGCCCCCTCCCTGCCACCGTCTCACCCCCCACCTCTCTCCGTTTGTATTTTGGGGTATTGCAGGGTCCCCCCGGAGCCCCCGGCCCCCCGGGTCCTCCTGGTGCCCCGGGCCGCCAGGTGAGCAAAGGGGGAGGCTGGAGCAGACTGATGCTGCCCAGCTTTTAGCGCAGGGTTTAAATATTCAGGCTCTTTTCTGGCCTTTAGGGGATGCCAGGACACAACGGTTTGCCAGGACTGCCCGGACCGGCCGGAGACCTGGTAGGTAACGGCTGTGCCCACACCAGTGCCCCCAGTACCCCCCCATTCTGCTCCCCCCGGCGTGGGGACCGTCCCTTTCCCTCCTCCATCTCTTCCAGGGGCCGCTGGCTGTCATGGCTGAGAGGAACATCGAGGTGCTGAAGGTGAGAGCGTGGGGAGGGGGCTCCTTCCCACCGTGGGTCATGCTTGAGGGCACCCCCAGCCTCTTGGGGTGCCCCTGACTCCCCACCTTCCCCCAGAGCCTCTGCGGGGACTGTGCCCAGCTGCAGGCAGCCTTCGAAGCACCCAGCGGCGTCAAGGGAGAGAATGGGGACGGGGGGGGCATGCCAGGTGCCCCCGGCAGCGAGAGCTGCACCCAGGTGAGTATTGTCCACCTCCGGGTGGGAATCCCAGTACCCAAAACTCCCTGGTCCCAGTGGGTTTTGGAGTGAAGAGCAGAGATTCTCCTGAGCCCCCGGGCATCAGGTTGTGCAGCGAGTTGTGCAGAGCACTTGTGGGGCTGGGCACGCTCTGGGCACGCTCTGGGCACGCTGCTGGTCCTGCCTGGCATGTGGGCAAGCTCCTGTGCACGGCTCCCACCTACCCGGATGGGGTCCCCAGGGCTTGTCCTGTGTGGGGTGGAGCAGGGGGTGCTGAGCATCCGAGGGGTGCGAGGTGTGGGGCTCTGTGCCCCTCGGCCCCCCCAGTGCAGGGGATCCCCAGGTGACTCCTGGGTTTTTTTCCAGTGCTTTTCCCAGCTCCCGAGAGCAGAGGAGGCTCGGGTGAGTGAACCGTGCCACCGGGCACCTTCTCCCCGTCCCTGGGGCTGAGCTGCCACCCTGGTCTTGCTGCCCGGTCCCCAAGGTGCTGCAGGGATGGTCCCCGCTGGGGCAGGACCGGGCACCGTCCCCTCGTTGCGGGAGCAGTGGGGCTTTGGGGAGCAGAGGTTGCTTCTGGGGGGCATTTGGCAGGGCTCAGCCATGGGCAGAGCTGTCCCCAGCTCCTGACGTGTCCCCACTCCCCGCAGGGTGACAGCCCTGACTGCGTGGGTGATCCCGGGCTACCGGGTGCCCCGGGCATCCCTGGAGAGAGAGGCGAGCAGGTAGGTGTGCTCCCGGTCCCTGGTGCTGCCCCGCTCCTCCGGCCACCCCCTGCCATCCCAGCCCTTCCCGGTGGCCGTGGGTGGTCCCTCGGTGCCCCTCAGAGCTGTGTCCCCACCGTGGTCACATCTGACCCCACCATCTCTCCCCAGGGCTCACCGGGACTGCGGGGACCCCCGGGGCCACCCGGGCCCATCGTAAGTACCCCTGTTGGGGGTGAGGGTTTGCCAGGCTGCGCGGGCATCATGTTGTGGTCCAGGGGGGCTTGAAGCCCTCTGCTGCAAGGTGCCGAGGGAGCCCAGCGCCCTGCCCCGAGGCCACGGTGATGGGCAGAGGAGGAGGTGCAGCAGGGCATGGCTGTCCCCTGGCCAGTCTGGAGACGGAGGCGAAGGCGCTGCCAGCCCGGAGATGGAGCAGGAGCCCGGCTTGGTGGGAGGCTGAGCCCGGCCGCCGTGTGGCATCCCAAGGGCTCAGCCCAGGCTCCCAGGTGCCATTTCCAGGCTGTGACCTCCCTGTTTCTCCCCTCAGGGCCCCCCAGGCTTTCCTGGCACGCCTGGCGCACCCGGATTGCCCGTAAGGACCCAGCACGGCTCTGCTCTGTGCCCTCTGTCGCTGCTGCTTGGTTTGGCTGTGTCCCTTGTCCCTGTCCCCCTTGGGAGCAGCCACAGCCCCCCCTCCCCTTCCACCTCATCTCCATCCTCCCATTTCCACCTCCTTCATCTCCAGGCAGGGGGTCTCAGCGGACCCGGGGTCTGCAGGCTCAGGAAGGTTCTTCCTCAGCTCAGGGACCTGGCACTGCCACTTGCTGGCCCCAGTGCCCTGTGCTGGTGCCCTTCGCCGTGGGATCCAGGTGTGCCAGGGATGGCCGTAGCCCCCGGGCTGGCTCGGCTCAGTCACTCTCAGTGTGACGGGGAGCTGCTACCCCGGCTTGGTGCCCACAGCTTGTGGGGTGCACTGGGGGTACCAGATGGCAACCGGCTGCTGCCCCTTCTGGGGGACAGTCCAGTGCTGCCTGGGCTCATCCTCCTCCTCCCCTGGTCCCCAGCTCCTCTGGGATCAGCCATCTTCCACCACCATCTCCATCTTGATCTTCACCACCATCTTGATCTTCACCACCATCTTCACCCTCATCCTCATCTTCATCCTCCTCCTTCCACCCATGCTCCCTCCTGGCATGAGGCGGCGGTGGGGGCTGCGCCGGTGGCTCTCAGAGGATCCTGTCCTCCCTCGTTCGTGCCTGTCCCCTTGTCCACTAATGTCACTGTAACACCATGGTCTCTGTGGGTCTCTGTGGGTCTCTGTGGGTATGTGTGGGTCTGTGTGGGTCGTCGCTCTGCGGTGTGCCAGTGTGTCCTGTCCAGCCTCCACCGCCTCGGCACCCTGTCACCTCACTAACCTGCCCCAGCAGCCCTGTGACGTGGAGCACGGGGGCTGTCACCCGTGTCACCCGTGCCTGGTGTGCCCTGATAGGACAGGGAGGCAGCGGGTGGCACCGGGCTGGAGCTGGGGTTTGAAGCGTGTCCTGGGCAGTGGCCGGGGTGCGGGGAGCTGGGCACCCCACACAGACCCCCCTCCCCACGACTGAGCTTTCTGTTGCCCCATGGCTCCAGGGCTGCCCGTGGGTCCTGCCCATGGGCCACAGCAGTGACCTGTGTCTGGGTGACAGCGTACCCGGCCACCTGTGGGCATTGAGCCCAGTGCATGTGGCTAGTGCCGTGGCTGGAAGGAGCCCACCCAGGTGCCAAGCAGGTCCTCCCTGGTGCCTGCAGGTGCTGGGCAGGCTGGGGCCAGCATGGCCTGGTGGAGATGACAGACCCCATGGGGTCCTTGGCTCCCACATTCTGCCTGGCTGTGCTGCCAGGTGGGCACAGACCCAGGCAGGGGCTGTGGGAGACCCCCTGCAACTCCTCTCTTCTCCCTCCGAAGGGTCTCCAGGGGGAACGTGGCCCTGCTGGGCTTGCTGGAGCCAAAGGGGAGCCGGTGAGTGGTGTGGGAGGAGGGTACGCAGGGGGGGACACTGGTGCCCCGTGGGCTTTGGGCACCTGGCTGGGGCTTTGCCAGTAGCTCAGCATCATCATCCTCCTGCACAGGGACCTCCAGGGCAGCCTGGTTACCCCGGCGCAACGGGTCCCCCCGGCCTTCCCGTGAGTACTGTGGGGAGCCAGGCAGCACGTGCCAGCCCCCAGACACCTCCCGTGTCCCCATGTCCCTCCTGGTGCTCACTGGGACCCCCCATGCTGCCAGGACAGGCAGTTGGGGGATCCCAGTGGGCACCGAGCACCATGTCCCTGCAGGGCTCATCCCTGTCCCACACATTCCCGGTGCCCTGTCCCTTGCCCAACTGTTTGCTCCATCCATCTGTGCCCCAACTTTCCCCATCCATCCCTGTACCCCATCTGTGTACCAGCTGTCCCTCCCCACCTCCCATCTGTGCCCTGTGTCCCAGCTTGTCCCCTGTCCTGTGCCTTCATCTCCTTCCTTCCCCAGGGCATCAAAGGTGAGCGAGGCTACCTGGGCCCCCCTGGGGAGAAGGGGGAACTGGTGAGTCCCTCGGGGCCGTGCTCCAGAGGCAGAGGGGCTGGGGGCTCTCCCAGGTTCCCCCCTTGCCGTGGGCACCAGGGCTGAGGTCCTTCCAGCCACATCCCTCTGACCCTGTTCCTGCCCTTCCCAGGGACCCCCCGGCTTGGATGGCCTCCCCGGTCCCGTGGGGCCAGCGGTAGGTGCCCACCCTGACCCTCCCGGGGGGCTGTGGGGAGGGAGGGGGGTGGCTATGGGTGCAGAGAGGTGCTCCCCACCCACCTCACCCCCAATCTCCGCAGGGACCGAGGGGCGAGCGCGGGCTCCCGGGCAGCGCCGGCGAGAAGGGGGACCAGGTGAGCATCTCCGAGGGGACAGGGACCCCCAGGGTCCCCCCCGGGTGGGATGTGGTCGTTGGGTCCAGCTCAGCTCTTGTCTCTCCGCAGGGTTTCCAGGGCCAGCCCGGCTTCCCAGGGCCACCGGTGAGTATGTCCTGGTGGGGGTGAGGGGAGCGATGCTGTGGCACAGCGGGGTGTCCCCAGGAGGTGATGCTCAGCCCTGGCTGTGTCCCCGTGTCCCCACGGGGTCGGGAGCCAGCTGGGGATGGGGGTTTCTCCCAGGGGGGCACAGGGGTGTCCTGTGGGACAGGGTGTGGAGAGAGCAGCCCCAGAGCAAACCGGCAAAAATGAGTGTGGAGATGGGGGGACGTGCAGGGCCATGATGCCTCCCCACCCCAAATCAACACCCCTCTTCTCTTTAGGGGCCCCCCGGCTTCCCAGGGAAGGTCGGTCCAGCTGGGCCACCGGGGCCCGCGGCTGAGAAGGTGGGTGCTGTGGGTGGGTGCCACCAGGACCTGGCTGCGCGGTGGCACCACTCGTCCCTCGGGCTGGTGGCCGGGTTTGGCCCCTGCTCTGTGGGGTGGCCCAGGGGTGCACAGCCCCGGCTGCTCCCCTGACCTCCTGTGGCTCTTGCAGGGCAGCGAGGGCATGCGTGGCCCCACGGGGATGCCAGGGCCGCCTGGGCCCCCCGGACCTCCAGGTATCCAGGTAAGACCCCCCTCCCCATGCCACTCTTGGGGCAGAGGGGACAGGACCACAGGTATCGTGGTGCTGTGGGGAGTGCCACTGGCTGGACCCATTCCCCAGGGACCTGCGGTGCCCAGAGCAGGTCTTTTGGGGTCCCCCTGAGCCCCTCAGTCCAAACCACCCTCTGACACCCCCTCTTTGTCCTCACAGGGTCCTGCTGGCTTGGAAGGACTGGATGGCAAGGATGGCAAGCCGGGACTGCGGGTGAGTCTCCAGGGCATTCCCGGGTGCTGGGCAGCCAGGGCAGCCACCCTGCAGCCCCCCAGGATCCCCCCAACCTGTGTCTCTTTCTCTCCAGGGTGACCCTGGCCCCCCTGGGCCACCAGGAATGATGGGTCCTCCGGTGAGTGACAGCCTTCCTCATCACCCCTCCCTGGTGCTCAGTGCCTGGCATGTCCCTGCAGCCAGGACCTGGTGTCCCCTGAGCCAGGACTGTCCCTCCTGGGGATGCTGAGCCCGAGGGGGTGGGTGGGCATCCCTCCCCCCGACCCAGCGCTGCTGATGGGTCCTCAGCGGAGACTGGGGTTGGGGTCACCTGCCTCGGTCTGCTCCTGGGAGCTGAGACCCCCCCACCCAGCTCTTTTCTCCCTCCAGGGCTTCAAGGGGAAGACGGGGCACCCGGGTCTCCCGGGACCGAAGGTGAGCAACTGGGGGACATTCGGTGGTGACAGCCCCGGGGACCTCGGTCCTGGGCCGGGGTCTCCACGCACGGCGCTCCCCACGATGCCCCTTCCTTCTTTTAGGGTGACTGTGCCGCTGCAGGATGGGGTCCTCAGCAGAGACTGGGGTTGGGGTCACCTGCCTCGGTCTGCTCCTGGGAGCTGAGACCCCCCCACCCAGCTCTTTTCTCCCTCCAGGGCTTCAAGGGGAAGACGGGGCACCCGGGTCTCCCGGGACCGAAGGTGAGCAACTGGGGGACATTCGGTGGTGACAGCCCCGGGGACCTCGGTCCTGGGCCGGGGTCTCCACGCACGGCGCTCCCCACGATGCCCCTTCCTTCTTTTAGGGTGACTGTGGCAAACCTGGCCCCCCGGGGAGCACGGGCCGGCCGGGAGCGGAGGTGAGCGAGGGGCTGGGTGGGCACGGGAGCCCTGAGCTGGATGGGCTCCATGCCCCCCCCCATCACGCTGCCTTCCTCAGGGTGACCCCGGACCCATGGGACCCCAAGGCCGGCAGGGACCCCCAGGGCTCATTGTGAGTTGGACCTGCCCCCCACAGCACACAGGGACGGTGCCCGTGGTGGGGAGCATGGCAGAGCCTCCCTCCAGAGCGAAGGGCATCGCCATGACCCCCCCCAACTGACACCCCTCTCTCTGCCCCCCAGGGTCCCCCTGGAACCCCCGGACAGCCGGGTCCCGCTGGCCTCGCTGGAGTGGTGAGTTCCTGGGGCCGGACCCTTCCCCATCACAGCCCCAGCTGCGGGATGTGGGGGCGGGTGGGTGCCTCAGAGGGTGGGTTTGGGGGTCACCGTCCCCATCCTGCGCTGACTCCGATGCTCCGGGCTCCCTCCTGCCTCCCCACAGGGGCTGAAGGGCGATCGGGGCTCCACGGGGGAGCGAGGGCTGCCAGGGATGCCAGGACAACCAGGACCCCCGGGCCACCCGGGACCACCGGTGAGTGCAGCAGGGCAGGAGGGGTGGCACGGACCCCTGCACCCCGGTGCGATGGGGACCTCGAGGGTGGCACCATGCACATCAGTCACCGTCTCACAATGCCCCACTTGGATTTTGCAGGGGGAGCAGGGACCAGATGGACCTGTCGGTAAAGAGGTACGAGCAGAGGCTCTGAGGCTCACGTGCCCGACGGGATCCGGGGCTGGACCATGGCATCCTCCCAGCATGGCTATGGTGGCCCCACGGTGCCCACACAGGGGACATCCCTGCCACCTCATTCCTCTTTGTCTCCCCAGGGCCCCCCAGGAAAACCGGGTATCGCAGGACCGGCCGGCCAGAAGGTGAGGGGGGAGCCCAACTGTGGCACCGTGGCCATCCCAACACCCCCCCACCCCACTCAGGGCCGGGGGGATTGGGGCTGAGCCTCTCCCCGTCTCCGTAGGGTGAAGCTGGATCCCCGGGCGAGAGGGGCTACCCCGGGGAGAAGGGCAGAGCCGGCATGCCCGGGGGGCCAGGGAAGAGCGGCTCCATGGGCCTTGTGGGGCCACGGGGACCTGCTGGAGAGAGGGGCCCCCCTGGCTCACCGGGACCCGCGGGCAGCCCCGGACTGCCGGGCCCCCCAGGGATGATGGTAAGGAGGGGGGAGCTGGGTGCGGGGTCCTCCCATGGGGCCCAGTGGTGATGTCCCCCTCCGTGTCCCCCCAGGGTGACGTGGTGAATTACGACGAGATCAAGAGGTTCATCCGGCAGGAGCTGAGCAAGATGTTTGACGGTAACGGGGTGACGGGGGGAGGGAAGAAGAGGGGGGCGAGGGCCGGTTGCACCCCGGCATCGCCTCGTCCCCACTGAGCGCGGCCGCCTGTCCCCGCAGAGCGGATGGCCTACTACACCTCCCGGCTGCACTTCCCGGTGGAGATGGTGGCATCCCCGGGGAGACCCGGACCCCCGGGGAAGGACGGGCTGCCCGGCCGGCCGGGACCCCCAGGTTCCCCAGGGATGCCGGGGCAGATCGGCAGAGAAGGGCGGCAGGGGGTGCCAGGCATGCGGGGTAGGTGCTGCTCCCCGGTGTCCCCCATGGCATTCCTGGTGTCCCCCGTGGCATTCCCAGTGTCCCCCATGGCATTCCCAGTTGCACCACGGTCTCACCCCTCATCCATCCACCTCTCTTCCAGGTGAGCCAGGTGCCAAAGGAGAAAAAGGCGAGAAAGGTGTGGGGATGATGGGGGACAGTGGCCCCCCAGGACCCCCAGGTGAGCCCCCTCCCTCCCCATGGCCACCAGCCCCATGCCGGGGCTTGCTGCCACCCCACCACCTCCCTGCCACCTCCCTCTCTCTCTCTGTCTTTTCTAGGTCCCCAAGGGCCACCAGGCTACGGGAAGATGGGCCCCCCAGGCCCCGTGGGACAACAGGGCATCCCCGGCATCCCCGGCCCCCCGGGAGCCACGGGGCAGCCGGGCAAGACGGGGCACTGCAGCCCGGCGGATTGCATGGGCGCCGTGCCCCTGGAGCAGCCCCTCTTCCAGCCCAAAAACGTCAAGGGTCCCTTCGGCTGAGGGTGGGGAGGGGTCCCCGTCTCCCCCCCTCCCCCCCCCTCTGCTGTTAATATTGTTTCCCCGCTGTGCCGGGGGCTGTGCCCGTCG